GACTACAAGGTCAAAGACTTCAAACCAGTCCTTGTCTTCTGGATTTGGGGGGAGAACCAAATGAGAATATTGTTCAGGATCGCCAATGATATGTTTAATATCAAACTGCATAAAAAAGAATATGAATTTAAGTTAGAAATGTGAACCACAATTATTTCATAAAGCATTTACTATCTATTTTAAAGGTTTTACAATCTGTATTAAAGCTTGTAAAAACTTTTAAAATGTCTTGTAAAACCTTTAAAAATGTCTTGTAAAAATCTTGCCATTTTTTTAAAACCCTTGTAAACTTCTTACAATTCTTGTATAACAAAGTAAAACAATTGTAAAACTTATTAGTTGGAAAAAAGTAGTAGAGAAAAACTGTCATACCGTTGCAACCTTTGTAACTTTTGCTATATCTTTCTTAGTTGGGCATTTTGTTGTCATCCATTGCGAAATCAGTGGACGATTGTCGTTGGGTTCTAGGACCCGACTGCCAAAATTCTGTCCCAACTCTGCAACTGCGGTTAAAGCCCAAATCTGGATTGCAAAAACAAACCCAGGAAGCCCACATTGGTTTCTAAACAATTGAGTCGGAGTTATCTTCTTCAAGCAATCCACCAAAGACCCGTAAACAATGCGAGCCCACGGATACTTGCAGAACTTTGTGAAACTACTAGCTCTTACCAGATGTTCTTTCTCTATATTGTTTACAGGGTTTGAAGCAATTAAGATGCCCTCCACTAGAATCAGAGCACCTAACCTAACCCTCTCATCAGCATCCATCGCATTGCGTTTTGTAGACAAGGTATTAAGGAGATCTTTCAAACTTAAACCATCCTTCATCCATGTATCTTCTTTGTTTCTCTTTTTTCGTATTGACTGGCTTTGTGATGCATCATCACCCAAAGGCAGCCTTGTAGTAATAACAAACTCCCTCAGAGAAAATCTGAGGGGTTGTTCTGAGAAGACAAACCACAACTCCTCATTGTTAACCATTATTCTTCTCTGAAGAAAGTGATGGACCAGCTGTGATGAGAAACAGATCCCTTCACGTTCCGCAAAATCTATGATTGGTCCCAACAAAGAATTCTGAATCCGATTGAACTCAGTGGGACTAAGTGAATCCTTGACAACATTCAATACAAGTTTCTCTGAAGAATACTTTGATATTCTTTTCAAATTATCCACCTCATTCCCTGGGTCAATCAGTCTTTTTGGGAGAAACAGCCTCTTTGTAGGTTGACTCATTTTTCACTCTGTTGCAGGAAAGATAGAAAAACAATTAAAACATCTCCATCAAAAAGCATTCTCAAAAAAATCAAACCATTTACAACCCCTTTGTAAGCTTTTAAACTGCTTGTAAAACAGCTTTAAGAAGCTTTAAAACGCATGTAAAATTAAATCATGTAAACGAACAACTCTAGAAATGCAAATAGAGTAGTACATTGCAAACATCATTACCTACTTGGAAGCTTTGTGAAAAGTGAAAAGTCTCATCAATACTCAAACACATTCTCAAAGAATCAAACCATTTAGATCCCTTTTGAAAACCATTTAAATTGCTTGTAAAATCGATTGTAAAAGATTTTAAAACAAAGGTAAAATTAATTGAATTTCTAGAGTCCTTTTAAGTCCTTGTAAGAATAAAAACGGATCTACAAAAAAAAAATCACAAAATCTCAAAAATCATCCAATGTCACAAAAACTCGATTTTGAAGGGGAAATAACCTAATTTGGCATATGAATCAAAAAAGTAACGAAGTTTTAAAGTAATTTAACCGTAAAGTCGACTGATGTGACGGAACCCAAAACCCTAGGCAGATGAAATCGAAGAAGCCGAAAAGTCGAGATTGAACCTTATGAAAACGGAGAAGACGAGATTGAACCTTATGAAAACGGAGAAGCCGAGATGGAACCAAAACTGTAGAATCTAAAGCCGTGAAGCTAAGCGAAAACCCTTAATTTATTCTTCTTGTACTCAACGGAGAAGGAGACTGAGAGAATCGGTTTTTTTCCCCCTTCTATTTTTTTTTTCTCTATCAAATGGGTTTTAAAGTGTTTTAAAGGTTTTTTCTTTTTTATTTCGGCCCAACTATTTACAACTATCTTATTCTTAGTTCGATTAAAAACAGGTTGTAAAACCATTTTAAAACACGTTATAAACTTTTAAAACACACTGTAAATCTTTGAAAAATATATTATAAAACTAAAATTACCTTGCAAAATTTTGAAAAATCTTTTAAAAACTTGAAAATACTTTGTAAAACAATTGTAAATTTAAAGAATCATGAAAAATTTGATAAAAATATAAATAAGATGGTTTTATTTTCATAAGCTTATAAACATTGTAAAACCTTAAAAGTTCTTTCTATATATAATCATATACATTGTAAAAACATTAAAATGGTATAGATGAAGACTTAACATTGTAAAATGTTTAGATAGCTTTTAAAAATTAACATCAAAAGATAAAATGGTATAAATGAAGATTGGATGTTATAGATGCAGGTACATAGAAAAAAAAAAACTTAAATTCACAACTAGAGAGTTATACAAAGTAAAATTCATGCGAAAATCACTACAGATATTCTCAGCAAAAATTAAAAATTTGTAAAACAGCAACGTTTTCGTCAAAAAGAACAGATCATTTTTCCCCCAGCAATCTTTTCTTCCCAGCTCTTACAATTAGCCCCTGATCAAAGTAATAAATCAAGAAATATAAGCTTAGTTGTAGGTTTCTAATTTACATGTTAAAACCTGAGAGAAGTCTTACCTAGAAATCTGTTATTTCTGTAAAGATGTCAACCGCAAGTTTCTTTCTCATGTCTCCAATTTTTCCTTCTGAAAGTTTCTCATTTGCATTAATATGCATAGCATAGCATTCCATCATCTTCATCATGTACATCCCAGTATCTTCAATCTTTTCAGCCTAGCATCAAAAACAAAAAAAGACATATAAAAAAGGTTTTAATGAATACAATCTACAATCTCACTTATCACAAAATTTACCTGTGATATATTGTCCACTACAGATATTTTGAATGCTGAAACATCCATATCTGTTTTGTTGAGGAGCTTGCGCAAAATGTACGGCATCACAACAGAATATGCAACCACATGCATCCTTTTAACATTTTCTGAAACAAATGATGTCGCGTAATCGAGAATGATCAAAGACCTTCTCTCGATATTGATCACTACTGGAACCCAACATTTTCCTTTCAAGCACATAGGAGCATATATGTAATTTGTCTTGCTTCCAATCTCCAGCTTACTTATCTCTTCAGAACTAAACTGAAAATCATCTTTTGCGACTACAAACTCAGCATACTCATCGTCAATCGCATTTAAGAAAGATGATCCAACAAAAACAACAGTTTTGTTAAGGTACATTTCTGGATGATTTTCCCTTCTAGTTTTGATCAAGTGTAAAGCTGCATCAACATGCTAAGAAAAACACACACAAAAAGGAAAACAAATTACTCATGTTTGCTAGTCTATATGAACTTTAAAATTTACAATGGTTTTTTAAAGTTTTACAAGATTAGAATACTTGAAAGAAAATCATACATACCGATCCTGATATTGGTTTCCCCTGCGTTTCTAGTGTTGTGAACCATTTGGAATCTACTTTGATTCCCCCAACTGTTAGCACCCTACAACAAATATATATATATAATTATAAGAACATCCAATGAGTCAATGTAACATCCAATGAGGCAATGTAAAATCTTTAAAATACGTTGTAAAATCATTTTAAAATACATTGTAAAAGTCAGAGATGATGTAAAACCTTTAAAATACGTTATGAATATTATTTTGAGTTTTACAAACTTAAAACTCACTTGTTTTTTGTCGACTTCTTCCATTCACATAAACTTTCAAACCTTTTTGTGTCAACTTTTGCAAAGGGGTGAAGTGTTGGGTGCTTCTTCTTCTCTGCCGTGTAAGGTGGCTGAGAATAAATGGAAGGCACTTGACTTCGCTGGCTTCTTCTTGATGGACCATCAGCTTTTGATTTATTATCTACATCTTGTTGACTAGTTTTTAGTGGAACATCATTATCAGCTTTATCCCCTAATTCTTGATCACATGTTCTTGTTCCAAGATCAGCAGCAACTTTGTCAGTATTTTTGCATTTTTTTCTCTGAGGCTGCAAACAAAAAAAACAAAACAATACTTATAAAAACAACTTGTAAAAATTTCAAACAATGCCACGAATACTCAGTTTAAAACAATGCATTCCTTGTGAAGTAATAAAAGACATTACAATTTGTAAAACTTGTAATGTCTTTGCTTATATATGTACAAAAGAAATGCAACAATGCATTCCTTGTGAAATTAGTTTATAAAAACGAACAGATTGTTTTACAAAATTGAATTCTTACCTGTTTTCTTGTAGGAATATCATTATAAGAATTATCCCCTTGTTTACGCTTATTTGTCTGCAGGTAAAAAAAGTAAAAAAAAGTCCCCTGTAAGTACTTTGAATATATTTCATT